AATAATAATAATAATAATAATAATAATAATAAAAATGGAAAATGTCAAGAAATCATTTCTTAGAACTCTGGTCGGGACCGGAAAGAAATGTGTATATAGCTGAAATCAAAGAAAATAATAATAATAATGATATAAAAATGTGGCATATGGGAACATCAACAATCCCTGTTGTAGTTGGAGCCCTAGGACTGGTTGGAAAAGATTGCAGTAGACTAATTGAAGGGATTCCTGGAAGTCCATGCCTCAAGGAGATACAAAAAATTGTTCTGACAAGTACAGCCCACACTTTACGAAGGGTTTTTATCTATGTAATTTTTTTTTTTTTTTTTTGTCAGTGGAAAGTGTCATGCTGCCATTTCTAACCTTAGGTCCCTGGACGGGACCCGGAAAGAAATGTGTAAACACCAGAAATCAAAGAAAATAAAAATAATAATAATCAATGGAAAATGTCATGAAGACATTTCTTAGATCTCTGGTTGGGACCCAGAAGGAAATGTGTGTACAGCAAAAATCAAAGAAAATAATAAAAATAATCAATGGAAAATTTCATTAATATATTTATTAGATCTCTGATTGGAACCCGGAAGGAAATGTGTATACATCAGAAATCAAAAGAAATAATAATAATAATAATAATAATAATAATAAACTGAAATTCTTTGACGAGTTTTGTTTTCATTCATTAACGTTGGCTGACCCCTCTGTAATAACGTTGGGCCACATTTGGATGCGTTTACATAACTGTGAAGAACTGAAGCAAAACTTATAACCAACTGTGAATATCTCTTGCTACAACGAAAGATCTTAAATTTAAATCGGGAAACGCTAACTTTAGCATGAGACTATTTTTGGAGCCCTCACCAAGGATTCGGGTCATTTTTAATAACTGGTGTGACAGTACCATACAAATAAGAATGTTCTATAATCGGATTTGTCACGGGACTTTATTCATGGAAATAACACCCTCTCCTGCCTAGTTTCATTTTTCCTTCCCTCTCTCTCTCTCTTTCTTTCCCCTCTTTCTCTCTCTCTCTCTTTCTCTCTCTTTTTCAGCTTTTTTCTTTCACCCTTTGAATATTTTCATTCTTTTCTATACCTTTCCTTTTCGTATCTCACTTCTTTTATTATAATTCTCTTTATCTCTTTCCACCTCTCCTTTCTCAATTCTCTTACACTGTCTGTCTTTCCTTTCCCTTATTCTTTTCATTTTTTTCTGCTTTGCCTTTTTCTATCACCGTTCTCTCTATATTTTTTTCCTTTTTCTCTTTTTTTGTCATTTTACACATTCAAATAATAAAAAAAAACATTTATTTTACGTAATAAATATTTATTTATTTTTCAACGTAATCACATCCCTTATAAATACACACAATTCAATGGTGACTATTAATCCCACACACCGAATGAATATAAAAATTAGAATTTTAAACTTGTATGTACGTATATGCGTGTGTGTATGTTCCTGAATTTACAGCTTAAACGATAAATAATACTCTAACCAATTTAGAAGCATATTGTATCTGGAAACCCTGCCGAGTGTAGTGCTAAATTTCATAAAAATTATACATGTGGTTCTTGAACTAAGACCGTTTTTGTTTTCACGGCATTTTAGTAGGAAATTCAATATTTGTCTTCAATACACATTCTTATATCCATCTTGCATATATTGCAACTATCGTATCTGTGAAAAATACTAAACGCTCACAATAAATTATAACAAAATTATCAAATAAATTTAAATTTGCATAACACAATATATATTTATGCAATTCAATTCACTACATTACAACATTTTTTATAAATAAATATATCAGGCACTTGGCAAGTACTTGATACGTGAATATGTTATATGAGTGTGTCATTGTACAACGTAATCTGTATGGCTGGAAAATTGATTCACATGATTTGATGGTAAATAAACAAATAGACACACAGGTTTGCCGCTGTTACGTATTTTGAAATAAATGTAAGGACGAAACAAGGACACATGGCACAGTGGATAAAGGCGTTGGTTAGATCCAGTGACAGGATCCAAAGAGTGTGAGTTCAGTACACGGCTAAGGAGGAGAATACATGGCACAGTGGATAAAGGCGTTGGTTAGATCCAGTGACAGGATCCAAAGAGTGTGAGTTCAGTACACGGCTAAGGAGGAGAATACATGGCACAGTGGATAAAGGCGTTCGTTAGATCCATTAACAGGACCCTAATAGTGTGAGTTCAATACCTGGTTAAATCTGTGGAGAACTTGGAAACGGGAATTAACAGAAGATAACTTACATCCATTAAACATGGCACGTGAAACTAGAACCGTCTACCCCAGCGTGCGAAATAAAGGCTTCAGTTCGACATTCCAATCAACTGAAGAAGGCCGGAGCGTACAACGACCGAAACGTTGTAACAAATATGACGACAAAGATGAGGACAATAGTTCAAATAATGTAAATAGCGTACATTATACCTCATCTCAGAAATATTGACAGATACTATTTCGATCAGTTTCTATCCTTCTCTGTCTCTCTCTTCCTTCCCTGTTTTTCCCCTTCTCCCTTCTCTTCGAAACGTCTTCCCTTTCTTTCTCTCTTTTGAATATTTCTATAAACCATTCTTTCTTTGATTCCTACTTGTATCTCATTAACAAGCCAATTCTCTACACTGCCTGCTTCGATCTGCTAATATCAACCAAATGAAAAAAACCCTGTCATTTAATTTTGTCATGACAGGACGTCCAAATTAAAATCACCGAACACCTGTCATTCTTAACAATCACAAGGTCCACTTCTCAGGACCAGCAAATAAATTCAACTTGTTACTTGTCAGAGTTCGGGGAAGAACGGATGCCCTAATGACAGACCCAAATTCTTGTCCCAAAATTTTAATAAAAAAAAACTTCTTATAGATCAAATCTTGAAAGCCTTTCTTCGATAGTCGATTGTATTTCCATCAAAAAGAAAAAAAGTAGATATAAATTGTCCTGTTTTTAATTTTTTTTATTCTACAACTTCAAAAATGCATTAAATCTTCATCAACTTTGGGACAAAGACGATATCGATCGTTAATTATATTTCAAAAGTTGAAATCAATCACAATGTAATGATTTCCATATGAATGTACAGAATAGTTTTATTATGTCATAAAATTAAAATCTCTCTCACTCACACTCACATTCACACTCACACACACACACACACACTTTTCATTTCTATTCTTATATGTATATATTTATTTATACGCCTGTGTACACGCACAAACGGATTCATACACTAGCCAAATATACACTGTATTAATTTTATGTAAATTGATGTTTTCACAATAAATTCCTTGTAATGCCATAAAAAGTTTCGAGATATACTCGGCATAAATGTAGCATTTCAATTTCAGTTTATATTATCTGTTTATTCAGTGCTGTGATATTTTATTATCCAATCAGGTATATATATATATATATATATATATATATATATATATATATATATATATATATATATATATATATATTTTCTGAAAAGAAGCAATGGAATAAAATTCTACTGTTCGTAGCATTTACTTTTTTAAAATTGCTAAATACAAAGTAGAGCAATATATTATTATTTTATTGTAAGAGATTATAATGAAAACATGTTGAAATTTCTACATATAAGCTTTCATGTTTCAATACCATGATTGTACTTCTTCAGGCGATGGTAAGTAACTGGTGAAGAAATGATATTTAAAAAATTTTAAAAAAAATGTTTTACCTCTTTTCCGAAAGTTAAAGGTCAGAATTAAAAATAGACTTGTGGGTATTTTTGATTAACCAATTAAATAACAAAATTACGATATTCGTTTAATTAGTTTTGTGAAAATTATAATCATTGCTTTTATATATTATAAATAGGCAGGTCTTCTTGCTAGTTAGTGAGTTAGTCTAGTTAATCATTGCCTTTATACTTGTGGCCTTGTGTCAAAACTAAGCTACACTTAGTAAATAGTAACTATATTATCCCTTGTTATGTCACAACCTTAATTACAGAGTTGTATGAAGGAGAAAAATCATCTTTCAAACAAAGTACAGACTTTACAAATCCCTGGTAGTCTTCATTCTCCTATGTGGATGGGAAACCTGGTCACTGTTGGCAAAAACAGAGGGAAGGATACAAGCGTTTGAGAACAAATGCATGAGAAAACTCCTTGGTATTTTTCTAATGGTAACAAAAAAACAAATGATTTTGTGCGGAAAAGGGTTGAATGTTTTGTGGGAGCTTCTTCTTGCTGCTATCAAACGGAGATAAATGGCGTGGTTTGGATATATTACTAGGCACGACAGCCTGTGCAAGACCATCATGCAAGGCACCATTGAAGGTGAACGCAGGAGAGGACGCCAACGCAAAAACTGGTTGGACAATGGTAAAAAAATGGACAAGTATGACTGTACCAAAATTGCTGATGGCTGCCGTTGATAGACCGTTGTGGAAAAGAGCTAGCGTGGCTTCGGATCCGCCCTACGATTAAAAAAGTCAAGGAGATGATAATAATGATGATGATGATGATGATGATGGCGGTGGTGGTGATGATGGTGGTGATGATGATGATGGTGATGATGTCAACTTAATTACAATCCTTACTTTTTTATTATTATTATCCTAATCACTGACATTATTGATTCGTATCAATCACTTTAACTGACCATTTCTATTTTAATGATTCATAATAATACCGTACCGTTACTATTTCTGTACAAAGAAAAACTGTTGCCAAAATGACTCTCCCCTTCGATACGTACTTATTGCATCTATATTGTGTTGCAACCATGGAGCTTTTCGGTTAAATAATATTGCTTAATTTTTTTAAGCAGTGTCTTCTCAAGGGTGCCATATTTCAATGTCCTACTCCGTTGCCTTCCTCTGGGATAGTGACGTGCGAACAAGAAGGCAGGATACTGCATCGCTTGTAAGAGACGCGTTAGATAAGAAAATCTATCTTAAGAATTAATGAGAACGATGGAAAAAGAACAATGATGAAATTAAAACGAAGAAAAATTGGAAGAAAAAGAAGTGTAAGTAAAAAAATTTTTGAAAGGCTGTTTTTTTAAAAGAAAATGGAATGTAGTAAATCTGGAAAAGAAAAGAAACAGGAACGTTGACAAATGGGAAGTAAAGGAAAATGGTAAAGAAAAGGCAATAGTTATGAATAGAAAGGAAAAAAGAAGAAAAAAAGAAACAGTGTTAAAGGAGAAGAAAAAGAAGGGGTAAAGAAGAATAAACTTTGAGAAAAAGAAAGAAAAAAAGAAATGAAAAGGAGTCGGTGATGTAATGAAAGGAAAAGCAAAAGAAAAGGTGATTAAGAGAAAGAAAAGGAAAAGGTGATAAAGAGAAAAAAAGGTCATGAGAAATAAAAATGAAAATAAAGAAAACGGTGCAAAAAGAAAGAAAAAGAAAAAGAAGAAAAAAAAGAAAAAAAAGAGAGCGAAATCGAATAAAGAAAGAAAAAAGAAACTGTGGTCAAAGGAGGAAAAGAAAAAGAAAAGAAAATATGCAGGAAGAAAACGGAAAGAGTAAATATGGTTTTGGAAAAGAATCAATATTTGGTTAAAGTTCCAATTTTTATCGGAAAAATATGAATTTGATCTTTAGAAAATTAAGTTTTCAAAGCTTTTAAGTTGTGTGCGGTTTACGATGTAAATTTAATATTAAAAATAGACGATTACCTTGCGTCCGTTTTTGTCGATTTCTTTCGTGTTTCTTTCATAGAACGTCTTTTTCGCTAACTTATATATTATAATCACATAAAACTATAATTTTAAAATACGGAAGCTTAAAACGAAATCAAAACAGATAAAATTTCCTTTTTACCTACGACTAGGAACTCACTTTGAAGTGTTATGAAAACCCTAACCCTAAATTAACTCGAAAAATAGACATTTTTGTATTCTTTTTAAGCTTCCATATATTTTTCTAAAGGTGAACATGAAATCAGTTTCCAGTTTAGCAGTATATTTATACTGTAAATTGAACATACGACAGAAAATCGGCATTCCTTTTGATATTTAAATACAGGGTGGTCTGAAAGTTGTCATCCGTCTCAGTCAAATTTAATAAAAAATAAAAATAGACGATTTATTCACTTTCGTCCGTTTTCTAGAAAATTTCTTTGTCGTTATTTAGTCTTTGAAATTAGAACGTCAAGACTTTCGCCGCCTTTGATATATTAAAATCCATTTTCTAAAACTATAATTTTAAAATAAGGTTACTTATCGCTTAAAACGAAATTAAAACAGATAAAATTTCCTTTTACCTCAGAATGAAAAAATTAACAAATATCAGGAACTCACTTTCGAAGTGTGGATAAAACCCTAACCCTAAATTAACTCGAAAAATAGACATTTTTGTATTCTTTTTAAGCTTCCATATATTTTTCTAAAGGTGAACATGAAATCAGTTTCCCCAACCAAAAGCAAACAGTTCAAGGTGGGGATTTATACTGTAAAGATGAACATATGAAAAAATCGACAAATCGGCATTCCTTTTGATATTTAAATACAGGGTGGTCTGAAAGACTTGTCATCCGTCTCAGTCAAGCTATACGAATCCTGGAAGAATAAAAAATATAGTAATACAAAGCACATGTACTGAATTCAGTTTATTCACTTTCATTGACGCTGTCACTCATCTAGAAAATCCATTCCAAACTGTCGGAGATAAAATATAAGAAAGTCATCTGAAAAAAGGAGGTGATAAAACGGCGCCAGAAAAATGACAAGAAAATGGAAAGATTCGGAAATGCCCGTAAATGATTGGACTTAGTGAAAAGAAGAGGAATTAAAATAGGAAAAGGAAGATGAAAGGATTTTCTAAAATGGAGGATGAAAGGAGAGTTAATTCACCTAAAAAAAGGAGAGAAAATGGAAGATGAAATATTAATTCACCCCAGAGAAAATATAAATTTTAAATCCAAATTTGTTTAGCTTGGAGGATGAAAGGAGAGAAAATGGAAGATGAAAGAATAGGAAATGGAAGATGAAAGGAGAGAAAATGGAAGGAGAAATGAAAAAATAAAAAAAAGAAGCAAATATCAGATGGATTTATTCCCATTTAAGTGGAAGATGAAAGAGAAATCCCATTTCAGGAGAGAAATGGATAATATTCGAATTACCTGAAATTTTACAAAATTTAAAAAGAAAATCTGTTTTTGGCTGATTCATTGGAAGAGTGATGGAAGATGAAAGATGAAAATCCATATTTAAGATGAAATAGGAAGATGAAAGGAGGATCCGATTAAAGGTGAGAAAATGCCAAAATTTGAAGGATCGCAAAGAGAGAAAATCAACCCAACCAAAGAGTGCAAACGGAGGGAAAGATTCAAGAAAAGAAAGATGAAAGATTTGGAAGAGAATTCAAGGAGTTGGTGAAATTTAGTAAAAGATAAATTCTTTTTTTTAAAGAAGAAAAAGGAAGAAAAATGGAAGACGGGGAATTAATATTTTTGAGAAAATGGAATTCATAGAAAAAATGGAAGAAAAAAACAAAGTCAGAAAAAGAAAAGAAATTTATTCCATCCTAAAATGGAAAAATTACATCAGTAAAAACAATTGAAGATGAAAGGAGAGAAAATGGATAAAAAAATGAAAGATGCATTTTTAAATGTTTAATCCAAACTTTATAGATGGACTGAGAAAGTCTTGAAAGAAGAGGAAATGAAAGAGAAATCAGAGAGCGGAGTTCGAAATGAAAGAAGAAAGGAGAAAATTCCAAAGAAAAAGGATTTGGAAAACATTCAAGATGAAAGACGAAGAAATGAAAAAACACACTGGGAAGAAGAAATGAAAAGATGAAAATGAAAATCGAAGACTTCTCTTGAAAAAAGAAAGATGAAAGGACTGGGAAGAAAAAGATAGATGAAAGGAGAGAAATTGTTTGAAAGAAGCCTGTGAAAAGCAGAAAAGGAAAGAAAGGCAAACTACTAGAAAAGCTTGACAAAATGAAAGAAATGAAAGATAAACTGAAAAAATACGAGAAAAAAAAAAAAAAGATGAAAAAAAATGGAAAAGAAGAAAATGGAAGAAAATGGAAAATGAAAGAAGGGAGAAAATGGAAGATGAAAGATGAAAATGGAAGATGAAAGGAAAGATGAAATGGAAGAAAGAAGAGGAAAAGAAAGGAAAATGGAAGAAATGAGAAATGAAAGATGAAAGGAGAGAAAAGATGGGAAAAAATGAAACGAAAGAAGAAAAGAAAATGGAAGATGAAAAGATGAAAAGATGAAATGGAAGATGAAAGAAGAGAAATGATGAATGAAAATGGAAGATGAAAGAAGAGGAAATGAAAGATGAAAGGAGAGAAAATGGAAGATGAAAAGGAGAAAATGGAAGATGAACGATGAAAGATAGTAAAAGAAAATTCTTTTTTTATTTGAGGGAAAAAAATATTTTTGAATTATGAAAAAAAACAAAGTGGAAAAAATAATTTATTTCCATCCTAATTATACATCAGAAAATGGAAGATGAAAGGAGAGGAAATGGAAGATGAAAAGGAGAAAATGGAAAATATGAAAGATTGCAGAACGAAAAAAGCTGAAAAACTGATGAAAAAAAAAGAGAAAATTGAAGATGCAAGAAAAAATGAAGATGAAAGATGAAAAAATGGAGAAAAATGGAAGATGAAAGGAGAGAAAATGGAAGATGAAAGGAGAAAATGAAAATGGGAAGATGAAAGAAGAAAGAAAGAGGAAAGGAAATGGTATGAAAAAGAGAGAAAATGAAAAGATGAAAATGTAGGAAATGGTAGATGAAAGGAGAAAATGGAAGATGAAAGAAGAGAATATGAAAATAGGAAAATGAAATCATAATGAAGGCAAAAATATCTTTCCATTTTCTCTAAAAACCTCATCGTTACTCACCTTTTCAATGAATGTTATTCTCATCGACTTTATGTATAACCACATTTCTCTTACCTCAAGTCTCTTCTTCATCTGTGAGAAGATTGTCTAGTATTCACTTGCATAACAGTTCAGCAGCCATTTCTTTTATTTTACCACAATTTTCCTGTTTCTTAATACTTTGCATAGCTTCTGAAAGGCATCTATTTCAATGCGTCTCCGGTTTTAGCTCTCGCTTTTCCATCCTATTTTCAGACTCTACATAGATATTTAAATTATTTTTGTACTTGATTTTGATCTATCCATTTCTTAGCTTACATCTACCAATTGATACTTTAATTTTTGTTTTATTTGTATTTTATTTTAATTTCATAATTTTAATCTCATATTTATTATTATTATTCTTTATTATTAATATTTAACTCTTCATTGTTTTCTTTGAGATTACGTTTCTGTTGGTTTTATATTCTACGATTGTTTGGCGATGTCGGGATTTTTTTCCCGCCACTGCTTAACCCTTTATTCTTACTAGACTTGCAAATGGTTTCTAACATCTTACTTAGCTTAAAGCATCCATCGAACGCCATAACAACTTGAACAAGGAAACTGTCTTTGAATGCATTAAAACCTACGAAATAATTTTCTCGGAGAAAGCGAACGTGTAAATTAGCGAAAAACGACAACAGAGTTGGATGAATAAACAGAGAGAAAAAGACGATAAGATTGCTTAAGGCTGTGAGTTTGAAAGCAAAGCTAACGAAAATACAAGCAAGTAACGTGCTTCAGACACAACCGTTAGAACAAAGTATTTCAAACCCAATTACAGTGCAAATGTGTTTGCTCGCCTCTAAAGATAAATGACTAAGCGAAGTGGTAATGTAGTAAGAATCAAACCGATGTCATCTTTGTCTTTCCTTGTTTGGAACCGCGCGAAGTCCGTAAATTAGAGTCTTACTTCTTGATGTAATCTATCTTCTGTCCAAATAAGTTACTCAGTCCAATGCACAAACATTAAACATAAAGGAAAAGCGAGTAATTTTCATTGTATATTTTCAAGAGCAAATGTTTATATGTCCCATGCGATTTTACTCGAAGCCTGTTTTTGTATCTGTGAGTTGTCGTTTTAAGATGTCCTCATTGTTTTGTTTTGTGAGCAGCTAGAATCTGTCAGTAATATGAATTAAATTTTTATTATGTAAACCATTATTATGTTATTACTAGTATATTTCTACTTGTTACATTATGGTCTGATTACAACTAAATTTACAACGTTTAATATGTTTCTTGTTATAAATAACACAATTTTGTCACATTTAGATTTTTCAATATGGAAAGGGAAACATTAATTCGAAACAATTTCATTTTGCAAAGATAATTTCAGTTGCTCAAATGTGTATGTTTATATATAGCTATTCCTTTTCCAGGCAAATTCATCTCTTTGCGGGGCTGATATCATTATATTATAGAATTATCTTAATAAAGAAAAAAACTATAAAACGCTATTCACTGACTGTAACAAAAAAGGTCACTTTGTCTATAACAGAAAATCCTAAATGTGACTGTGGTGGAAAGTTTTTGCAAAGGAGAGGAAAAATTTATATGACTGTGATTGACTAGACGACAAAACACGACGTTTAACTTTAAAATTCTATCATTACAACATTCGATATTAATGTTATCTTACGTGATACAATAATATTCTTTATATATCAAACACAAACAAGATATTTACTGTTTACAATTAGAGTAGGGAAGTTGGATTTTTTTAATCCTTTTACCCCAAGAAAGGAGAAAAAGCACAAAAGACTATCGAGAGTGAAAAAATTGAGAAAACGTAATTAAATAGAAAGGACAATAAAAGAACGGATTTCAAA